TAGGGTTTTGAGGGGGATAAAGGTTATCTTTTTTTGGGGAATGGTGGGGGGGGGATGTGGGGTGTTGGTTTTTAAAAAGTGGAAAAACCCGGGGGAGTTTCTTGTTTTAAAGGGGAAGTAGGAAAAAATGGGTTATAGTGGGGGGTTTTGACCCCCTCCCTTTATTGGGGTATAGGTTATATTTGTAGGGGTTTTTCTTTCCCCTTCCCCCCCTTTGGCGGGGGGGGGCCATTTTTTTTTGGGGGTTTTTCCGTATTGGGGGGGGGGTTTTTTTTTGTTGGGGGTTTGTTATTTTTTTGGGGGAAAAAGGCGGGGTGGGGTGTTTTGTTTTAATGGGTTTGGGGGGGGGGGTTTTTTTTCCTTTGGGCCTATAATTTTGGGGGGAACCGGGGGGGGAAATTGTTTTGGGGGAAAGGGTTGGTTCGCCCCCCCCAAAATTGTATTCTTTTGTACCCCCCCCCCCCCCCCCCCCCCCTCTCGCCCCCGATCCGATTTGCGTTGTCGGGGAGAGCAACCCCGACTGTTGTTCTTTTCTTAGCGTTGCTCTGCCGTTGTACGGTCTGTCGTGACGACAGAGGGGCCACCGCTTGCTACAGCAGTCAGATGTTTCGCCGCACAAAAAGGATGGGGGCAGTCAGTCCCTCGTGTCGTGATTTTTCCGCCGCAATATGGTCTGTGGATGGAAGCCGTGTTGTGTTGTTCGGTCCCCGGACCGGACCGTTGCCAAAGTGGAGGTGCGTTTGGGCCTAGCTGCTGGTGATTCGGCGGCCTGGGTCTCGAGACAGGGCGAGGTTATGTAGGCAGCCTTAGCAATTTGCAGTGCGTCGAGGAGGGGGGTAGGGGTTGACGCGTGAGTATCGAGTATCGTTGTACCGAATAGAAAAGTGAGAACCGTGCGTTGGATGCTTGCGGTCGAGATTGTTTTTTTTGTACTCGGGGGGGGGGGAGGGGGGGGGGGGGGGTTTTTCACGGGGGGGGGGGGGGGGGAAAATTTGGGGGGGGGGGGTTTTTTCCCCGTTCCCCTTTTGGGGGGGGGGGGGGAAGGGTCCCTCTCCATGAAGTTGCCGCGGCTGGGGCGGGACCCAGCGCTTGGTTGTCCCCCCCCCCGGGAGTGTTCCCAAAACTGAAATTGGTTTTCTGAGCGGGGGGGGCCCGCCCCCCCCCGGTGGGTCTGCCTGGGGGGGGGAATCCGGAAAATTTCCCCCGGAAAAAGGGGGGGGGAAAAAAACTCCCAAAGGGGGGCCGGGGCAGGGGGGTACCTTATATTTTTTTAGGAAAGGGC